ATCTCAGGGAGAGAAATGTGGAAAACTCTGAATAATGACCTTACTTTGACAGATTCACATATGGCAGATCTTGCACGACTATTAGCATAGGAGAAGTCACCCACTTTCTTTCTTTAAGGGCAGTTTTTAGTTTAAAGCTAAGAATAGATGAAGAGCACAAAGAATGAAGTCTGGGGTATGCCAATGAAAACAGGCATTCCTGTGGGGACAGCCCCATTAAAAAAAAAAAAATCAAAACCAAGAGACCTGTATGACAGGTTAGATAGAATATTACAAATCTCACTCCTCAAACAACTGCTTGGAAGCGAGACTGTAATTGCTTTGACCAAAAAAATCAGTTTTGTGTTTTAGTTTTGACCATTTTCCAAATAGAGTAGATGATACGTTTCTCAAAACACCATGAGAGTTGCTCTCAGCATGAAAAACATGAATTTTCCATATGAAAGACAAAAATTAAGCTGCCAGTTCATACTTTTCTCTGATTTTTCTTTGCTGAGAAATGAATAATATTTGCTTTAATATAGAAAAATACATCAGCCTGCATTGAAGAAAGTGGGCAAAATTAACAAGATTGGAAACTACCCACATAAGATAAAACCATACAGTAATTTAGATTGAAAGGGACCTCTGGAAGTCATCTGGAAGTCACCCCTTTTCACAACAGGACCAAATTAAAAGCTACATTAGGTTGCCCAGGGTTCATTAATAAGCACACAGACACTCACTGCTTGAATGACAGAGTAAAAATTGAGTAGCTCAGTACTTAATTCAGCTTAACTAGAAGAAAGGAGGATGAATGGAATTTGGCTACCTCACTCATTTAACAAGAAGGAAAAGTAGGGAATAACTATAGTAAAAGCTGTAGAAAAATTGGAGTAAGAGTGATATTGAATTGAGGTTTGACTCAAATATGACCTGAATCTACTCTGAAATCCCTGAAGAATATGAAGGATAGTAAAAGCTAACTGCAGTACAAACTTATAAATCAACAACAGTGTATATGTGATTAATAGCTCACAGAAACACATCTATAACAGAAACACTTCAGCAGAGGACATTCGTAAAACAAGAGAAAGGTTTTCTCTTTGAGCACCAGCTAATTGGATATAACTATCTGTAGGAAGTGTATATAGTTATCTAGCTTATATACGGTAACCATACAACATGGTTTGAGAAATTTCAGGTAAAAGTTAATATAAGAAGCAAAATATTTGATGAAACTAAATAGCAATCTAGATCCAGAGTACCTGGAGCCAGGTAACTGATTAGTGCCAGGAACAGCAGCAGTTTCAAAACTCTGACCAACCAAATAATGGATATCATGATTAGTACTTTCCATGTTGCTAAAATTAATGGAAGTTTTCTATGTATTACACATGTACTACAAGACAGACTGCCCTAATGTATAAAACTTTTGTTTAAAAGTAACCTTCACAAGTTGTTGTATGTCTGATAACAGTACTGCAAATCAGAACTCCTCTTCTCTTTTAGCCAACACATTCTTTTTCTGGACAGCTGCAGTCACACGTGCAGTTTTTCAAGGGAGACTTTCAGTCTCTCATTGAGACTGTCTTCCTAACAAAGTCCAAATTTCTTAAATATTCCAAGTCTGGCCATTAGCTCCTCATCTTTAAAATATGCCTTCTCTAAAAGAGGAAGGGTATCTAGCTTACTGCAGAACTTTCCAGAGGTATAGCAGTATGATCTGCTAGATGTGGGCATTTAATTCTTTAGCTTCTGGCCAGGCACTGAATACCCTTCCTACCTATTTTACCTCAAGAGGACAACAGATCTTGGACAATGGGGCTGCAAACCATCTTTGTTCTCTACTGCTCCTAAAGAGTAAACACCTGGAGAATTACAGGCTTCAACTGTAATTCTGCTGCTGTAGAACTTTCACATTCAAATTTGCCCATAGAGCCTAAGATATGATATCCACAATCATGTTTATTGTTTTTGAAAATCTTCATTTAGATCTACATGGATTAGATACATTCTGAACTTTCTTCAACTCTGGAGGCATTGAACCTTTAGAGTGGCGTATGGGATTCACACAGCATCCCTGATGGCTTCAAAAAAGTTGGAAAACTAGCATCTCAAATTCAGCTTGTCAGCTTCTCCAAACTGTTTCATGGCCAAGAGGTTCTTTCCCAGCTAATCTACCTTCTGCTACTGATCATCTCTTTCCATATACTTTCTGGTAGTGTTGTAAATGTTGGTCCTTTGCAAGAGGGATTTCTTTTTCTCTTCCAAGTTTCATTTCCAGCTCTACCTCTTCTGCAGCTCTTTCCTTTAAGGCTAGTTATGGAAAAATCTGCTTCCCAGATTTAATGTATTACTTTATGAATTTTCAGACATTTGGGGGGCTCAATTGATTTATTCAGATGTATTTCATTTTCTCTCTTCCTCATATTTTCAAGACAGTTTTATCCACTAGTCCATTTACTTCATCTAGTGAGCAATGAGCTCATGACAGCTAGGAAATCTTTATTATAGACATTTGTCTTTCCTTGCAACACTAGAACTGTCTACGTGATGCCAGTTGTCTTCAATCCATTTCTTACTTTCCTTGAAATTAATGGCCAACAAGCCTAGATTCAAATGGCAACAGTAACAATTTCTTGTGCTTCTGCCAAAGCTTTCAAGACATCTCAGAATTAGGAAACACATTCTGAAATAAGAATTTAATCAAACAAAGCCTCTCTGAGGACTTTGCCTCCTTGAAATCCGTTCAGACCGAAGGGACACCATTGCAATTCATATCAAACCTTTTCAATTTCAGATGATACCCTCCTGAATCCAGAAAGACTTTCAGGGTCCTTTCTTTCTGGTGCTAGGGGAGTAGAGATTACAGCCATCACCCCACCAAGGTAAATTTATCCTTTTATGTCCTAAGTCACCATCTACCAGTTAGTGCTGATTTCGTATCTAGCTTGTTTTAACAAAATTCACACTCCAAAGACATCTTTTGTCCATGGTCTCTGGTCTGCTGTTGATCACCAAAACCCAGAAATCCTCTCATAAGACTGACAGAAATGTTACAAATTAAAACTAAAAACTATTTTATCTGCTTCCCAGAACTCCTGTCTTTCTTATGACCTTTTCAACGGTTTCTGGGTCTGCCTGCCTCCACCTTGCTCCATTTCTTAAAAAGCAGCAGTCTAAAAATGCTTTCCTCTTTTAGCCACCTGGACATTATTCTCAGCATCCAGGGCTTCACATTGCTTCTATGGCTTTTTTACTTGTAATCAGTCCATCTAATTTCTGTCACCAAATTCAACCAATTTGAATGTGTAATGGAAAACAGTCTCAATAACAACTCACAGTTGTTTTCAGGGATGCAAGTGCATCATTTCAAAGCAGATCCTAAAACAAAAATAGAAACAGAAAAGAAAACAGTGCCCACTACCTTTCTTCAGCTGCTACTCCAAAAACCTGTTGTTTTGCTGTCTCTTCTAAGCCTCCTCAATTGACAAGATTGACTTGACTGATGCTTGGTCACCAGCATCAGTTGTATTGCTAGTGTATCATAACTGACATGTCATGACACATCTGTAGTTCACCCTTTCACAAGCAATATGCCTTTAGAATATAACAGAGATGACCATTATGCAATACACAGCAGTCCTAGCCCATCTTTTGTGTTTTGGAGTCTCTTAGAGAAGTTCTTTTTGGGTGTCTCAATTTGCTTAGCCTTTCTTTTCCATTTCCCTTCCCCTCCACTTTCTGCAACAGTTCCTTATTACGCCCTTGAGAAGCTGCTGCTCACAACTAGGTAAAAGTTAAGAACTAATGCCTCAGATTAATCCACATACTGCCTAGAAGTTAAGATTCATGATGGGTTCTACAAAGAATTTTGTGTTGTGTTACCAATTTAAAGATAGTAGTAGAAAAGGGCAGTCAATCTGAAATGGAAAGTCCAGTTACCAAAGCCAAATGGTCTTACAGGGCAAAAGAAACTTGACATTCACTAACTTTCTGATGCAATCAATAAGTAATTCAAAACACAGGACAGTGCCTCCGCCCCCCCCCCCCCCCCCCCCCCACTGCTCTGAATCTTACCATGAAGAAAGAATATATATCTATATATCTCTATATATATAAAGAATATATATAAATATATATAAAATATATATATACAAATATATATATACATATATATATATACATATATATATATGTATATATATATTTTATATATGTGAGTCCCGGTTGATGGCAGGCATCTTGGGCAAATATAAATATATATATAAATATATATATTTATATTTTGAACATATATATATTTTATGAGATTTTTTGAACTGAATTATAACACTGGCATAGTTGCCCAAGATGCCTGCCATCAACCGGGACTCACTGGCCCATTTTTAACTTGCCAGCTGTTTTTATATACTGAAAGAAAGCCTCTGTATTGCACCTCTTTATGGTGCAATGCAGTGGTCAGACTTCGTACAGTGGCCTAACTTGCATTCCAGTAGTTGAATGCATACATCTACGTAGCCAAGGAGCCTGCATCTGCTGTGCTGAGTATCCTTAAACCTCACAGAGAGACAACTACATATAAATCTTTATCTGACACATCAGGATAACATTTCACATGTTTGTCTTGTTTCTTCGTCTGCTAAATTTATCAAGAGATTAAAAAAAAAAAAAAGGCATTTTTTTCCTTTTTTTTGTAGTCTGTCCAGACCACATATGTGTTCTTTGGAATTTCATAAAGTTTCCTCAGATCCATCTTATCTGTTCACTTAAAAGAAAGTAAAAGCAAAGCATGCCTTTCTCCTATCAGAGCACAAGTAAAAGCAATTTGGTCTGACATATGTATATGTGAATGTATAAATATTATATATATATATATATATATTTATTTGAAGTAACTACTTTTAAATATATGTGTGTGTATACATATATATTTGAATATATTAGCATTTGAAGTGGCAGACAGCTGACAGAGTAAATTAGTTGAAGAAACTTAGAAAATCATTTTACTTAATTACCTTGTGTCAGGTTTTAGGTTTTCCACCGTAGAATGGGTTTGATTTGTAGTGATAATTGACTTCTCCTTTTCACCATCACTTGCTCCGTTTTCAGTTGACACAACTTCATACTCTAGCAAAATACAGTAAAGAGAAACGTGTTTAAATAACAGCTCTCACTTGAACTTAATTGTTCTCCCTTTTTTCCATCTGATTTCCACTCCTACTGTCTAACAGGCTGTACAGACATTTCATGTGAACAAGTCTGGATGTTAGTATTCTAAAATGGTAAGAAAAACTCCTTAGAGTTCCAATTACAGATTGCTGAGTGCCTAGCCTCTCATCCTTTCTCATGATTCAGTTATGTGACAGAGGATACTCAAAATCTCACCTTCCCCAAGGGTACTCTACTGACAGAATACTGAACACAAGTAAGTTTACATATCCCTCAGTTTGAAAAAAGAAGCATCAAAGATGAAAGTACAGTTTCTAAATGCTTAAACCCTGATTAACTTAAAGTAAGACCTAATAAAACTTAGGTTTCCACAGGAAACTGCTCACTAATTTTGCTTATGCTCTTGGGAATCTGTTAGTTTAGAATTAAGTACTTTTTTTTTTTTTTTTTTTTGTATTTGTATTATTTATAGAGACTTACTACTTTATTTTCACCTCACTGGTATGTACTACCGAGTGTGAGCCATGCTCTAAACAGGGGAGTAGAACCAGATGTTTGGGAAGAAGATGCCCCTTTGAAAAATCATAACCATATCCAAGATACAGTCCATCTCTAGCATGCATCCTCTGACATGAGTCACAACTCCAAGCTTCTATGCCAGTCTTTCAGACCAAGCAATTACACACGTATATGTACATGTGGATTTTAGATTATTTGCTATAATGGTTTCAGAAGCAACCACTACACAGGGTCTTTTTATATCATATCTTATATTTGGAGCATAGATGAAGCAACATGTAACTTTAAAATGGGTTTAAGAGTATGTCAAAAAGCCAGTGTTTTCTCTACGCTTTTCCTTCTTGGAAACAAAGACCCTTTCCTACACACACACGCACACACAACAACAACAACAAAAAAAAAAAAAACAAAAAAAAAAGGAAAAGCCCTTATTCACCACAATTAAGCTTCATTATAGCAATGATGCTTAGTAAGGACAGGACAGAGGCTGGATTTCTACTGCCTTAGGAGTATCTGGATAGAGAATCAGTAGATAACTTCACAGAAATTCAATCCATCTGCCCTTCTGCTAGCCCCAAGTCACACGCTTTAAACTTTTTAACTCATTCAAACTGGAGAATAAAGGATAATACAACAAATGCATGGGCATGTGCTTCCATGCACACATACAATGAACTACGGAAGTGCATCCAGTATCTGCTTGTTAATGTATATTAACAGTGATCCTCAGTGTACTAGACAATACACTGCCCTCCATCTCTGAGACAACTCAACAGGAGAAGCAGGGCACCAGAAAAAAGTTCTTGGTCCCTGACATTTTGCAGCTTTTATGAAAACAAGGAGGAAAGCTTGACCACTACTTTAGCTATTATTTGTCACATCTTTCCATTACCAAAGTATAATTTTGGTTTTAGTAATACCTAATATTATGAAAACCCTCATGCAACATATTAACTAATAGTCAACAGCAGTATTTTTTAAATAAGGCTCAACAAATTATCCACAGTTCTATCTGAAACTGCACATTAAAAATAAAGATGTGATGTCCAAATCAGAACATTGAAAAAACATTTTTTTCAAAATACAAAAATAAAGGAGATGACAGAAAACTTGATTTAAGTTCTTCTAAACAAGTAATATCATTCTTGTGCCAATATGAAGTAATCACCTTTTGGAGAAAATGGGATTCATTGACTTTTGTTGACTACAGAAAACATTCTTAGATGAGTCATTAACGGACTTATTTTTTAGACATTAAGATGAAGGACAAAAACTCAGTGGGAGTATTTCTAAGCCACAGAATTCAAACATTTTGTATTATGTGTATTCATGTCCAGAGAAAGGCAATGAAGCTGGTGAAGGGTCTAGAGAACAAGTCTTATGAGGAGCAGCGAAAAATAACAGAAATAAGACTGTATCAGAAGGAAATCAGACCTTGCTTTCCTCATTACATGATGCATGCTGACAGTTTTTCCAGTTATAATGTAAATGTTTTTTTCTATTTCTGCAGTTGAAATGGTTGTGCTGCAGTGGGTTCATTAATGTACTCAAGAAAAACAGGTCTACTTCCAAGAAAAAAAAAAAGCAAACTAAGCAAGTTATCTGATCTTATCAAGCTAAGGACAGGTCTGTGGAGGAAGCCTCCAAATGACAACGGCAACAAAAAGGGTTTTCCCTGGATAAAAAGAGGCATAGCTGAACTGCCTAGAAAGGAGAATGTTCACAAAGAGCCTCTCCCCAGCCTAATGTTAAAGCTAGGAATACGCTACAAATCGGTTCACACTTCTTCCAGCACATTACAGAAGACAAGTCAGGTAATCATTCTTCTTTCTGATCGTTACTTTTTACTTGCCTATAGTCTTTTTTTTTTTTTCTTCCCTTTTAATTCAGCAGAAGGGGCAACTTTCTTCCTCTTTCTCAGAAGAAGGTGGTACAGGCTTATTTTTGTTCTGAGTGTGCCTTTGGATCTGCATTTATTATTTTTCAAAATTGTGGGAAGAACAGGAAAGAATCCAGGCTGAGCTTAGTAATTATTTCTAGAGAATCAAGGGAAGACTATTTTGGGGAAGAGAGCATGTGACAGTCACCATTACAGCTCTGCAGTAAAATCTGTCATGACATGCATATAAAGCAACTTCTGTAAATATCCCACTTACACGCTAAAGTGAATGGCTAGCGATCAAATCTTCCTCCTCACAGTTCCTAGACTTACTTATTCTACTCACTTGTAAAGCAACACAGCCAAATCTGTTTGGCCACAGCAGTGATTGAGTTAGTGATTTTGCAGATCAAAGTTCTCTTTTATAACAGTGGTAAAAATGGAAGCTATTATCCTGACAGTACAGAAGAACCATAATTTTCATATTCAATTCTGGTAAGTTTGTGTTGATACAGAGCAGACAGAAAAATTATGAGTGGTCTTCTTGCATGCCTACCCAGGTACTCATAGGCATAGGCATAGACTCAAATGAACAGAATCTTTACACAAAGAGAACTTTGTGGTCTTACAATGGGTACAGCAAGTAATATGCTGGCAGAGTTCTACTGACCTACCAGACAGATACTTTCATTGTATCTGGCTCACTGATCAAAAACATAATGGCAAGAAAGTTGTCTGCATTATGTGCAAGTAGCCATGCAGTAAAGAATACTGTCACAGCGGCATGAAATAAAAGCACTGAAGTGTAAGACACTTTTGGGATGAAAGTATTATTTTAAATGGCACAAAATCACTGTCAAAGTAAAAATAAGCTTGAAATACTGTATTCTGAAACAAGATAAGAAAGAAATCAAACCAACCAGTAACAGTGTCATTGTCTGGTTTTTCCCAGTCCAATATGACGAAAGTTGGACAGCCCTCAACAGTCACCACTGTGAGGTTGGTTGGAGGATTTTGTGGAGGACGAGTAGGTTCTTCCTTGATGCTAGCCTCTTCTTGAGGAAAATGTTCAAGAGAGCTTGTGATAGAGCAAGGCACATCATCATCTTTCTTCATGTACTTGACATGAGGGGCTTAGAGCAATAAGAAAGAGCTGTTATTCAGTACAATATTTTTAACAAAACATCAATGCCATTCCACCCATCCTACAACTTCCAGTTGAGGGACTGATGCAAAAATCTGTACAAGTCAAAATGAAACACAAATGTTTAAGAATTAAAACTATATATTCAATACCCTTTTCTAAGCTGCCTTTTTTGGGGGTGGGGTATTGTTAGACCTGGAATCTGCACTGCCTTCACCCTTCTGTTGTCACCTTTCATCTGACTGGAATAGACAGAATCAAATGAAGCTTTGGCCTTCAAATAACCAAACAAGATAATTTTGATATAAAACAGGTCAGTGTCCATGCATTCCCCCCAAAAGAAACACCACAGCTATTAAAATCCTACCTTGGTACCTTGGTTTGCCTGAAGAATCTGTTTCTGATGTAGGACTTGAACTGAAGACAGTTGCATCGACTGTAAGAGACACGGTTGTAATTCAATTTGCAATAAACATAAGTTTCAGAACTGCTGTATCTCACGGTTCATTTGGCATTTGAAATCATCCCTGCTAAAGTTCCTCCATGGTAGACCTTTGATGTCAGATCTGTTTTTTCCTTTTAAGGACTCAATTTTGGCTGCTAGGTAAACCCCATACTTACCTAACAGCATAAAGAATGTTATAATCAGAATGACAGAATTCACAACTCCTGCTGGATTCAGCTCATGCAATTTATGTGAAGTGTACTTTGGACCTTTTTAAAAGCAACTTTTTGCACTGTACTGGCCATTTAAATTAGAGCTCACTTCATCTTCAAAGAATGTATAGTACTGTTAAGTTGGGACACAACTTTTCAAAAAATAGTGACAAGGACATCACAAATTTTGTCTTCAGAGTGTAAAACTTCCACAAAATGTGAAAGGAATTGTACACAAACATTGTTGTGAGCAGAAATGTGCTAGAGCATTCAGGATTCTTAACATCAATGTTGTGGTAAATAGCCAGTATATTGAACGGAATATTCCCTTAGATACAAATACTAAAATAGACATCAATGAACAGAACATATGATATATTCAGAACAAGCATTTTTTTCATACATCTAGTATCATGAGATTATATTTTGTCTCAAAAATTAATTCTAAGCACACCCTCCCCACAACTCTAGGTCTAATTCCCCACAATAAAGGTCTAATTATTAACTATCTATAATGTTTATCCTATTGTATTTTTTTCTATCTAGATAGTTGCATATTGATCAGATACATAGTAGTATATCACAACCATCTTGACCACTGTCAGCCACCATTCAAGTAATAATTTAAATTTATGTCCTATGCAAAATGAAACATTCAGGAAATAAGTGTCTTATCTACACCTTTCACAGATTTAAAGTAGACCCTGAATAGTATTGAAAGGCTACTAAGCATGTATTGATTTCTCAAAAGATGGAAGAGCCATCATGTTCTCATTTTTCAAAGATGTGTATCAGATGACAGCCAGGTGAATTCAGGCAAGTTGCAAAAGTCAAAGTGGCATAAACAGAAATCAGAATCACTCCAGAAAGAGTATTTCTTATATTATAGTGCATCAATTTATTTTAGGAAAGGGAAGCCAGAGGAAAAAAAAAAGGAAACTTTTATGTTAATGAAGAAAAAGAAAAAAAGAAACAAAAAAGAAACCAGAGCTGTCTACATTATGCTCACCATAATACTCTGGAGTTGCAAAAGCTGTTGGTGTCTTAGATGGAATTCCTGTCCTCACAGGTGTTGTTGGTCCAGCAGATTTAGCTATAGTGACAGAAGAAGGAATGTATGGCAACAAGGCATTCACTATTTAGAAAATCAAAAACTCAAAAAAACCTCAGATTTCTGACGAGTGATTCATAAAAGAAATGGGCACATGATTTCATTTAAACTATGACATTCTCCTCAAAACTTACTCAACAGCTCCCAGTTGGGTTTAGGAAAATTCTGTGTTTTCTTTATTGCCAACAGAACCTATTCCTGAAGTCTAGTAAGAAAATTCTTTGCTATTTGGAGATTGTCTTTGACAGATTCAGTCAGCTAGAACATACATGACTTGGTTATTAAGCACTGGCTGGTAAATAGACGCAAAATAACCAACTGTTTCACAAATAAAAGAGCACATTTCTTCACACCACAGAACAGCTGAAGTCACCAACAGAAACCTGGAAACCTCCCAGACAACCACTGTAAGACTGCAAAATCTCACCTCCAAAAAGCCAAGAACTACATAATGTAGTCACCTTCACCGCATGTATGACACAGAAGAACATGGTGACTGAAGGCAGAATGTTGACAAACCAAGTTCAAAAAAATGGAAAGTAGGGATAACAGTAGAAATTTATGAAGACTCTCACTAGAGTGCAGACTGACAAAGGTTTGGAACACTCCTATTTCCTTTTTTTTCCATTCAGGAGACTTTTAATGTCTGCATAGAAACCTTCCCATAACACTCAACTAGTGGATGAGTAAGAAAGATACAAGCAAGGAATTAATCACAGTGTTAATAAGAAAGAGAAACAGAACACCATTATAGAAGGGAAAATCCAAGAAGAACACTGAAGCAAAATTTTCCTGCTAATACTGTGGAACAGCTTCTCCAGGGAACTAGAAGAAACTCATATGATGTTCAAAACCAAGCAGGACAAACATTATGAAACAAACTAAAAGGAAAATCTACTACCAGTCCCACAAGGAAGGACCAGATCATCTAACTGATTTATTCCATCTTGAATGTCTAGGAAGGCATGATAACTGCTGACTACTCCATAACCTGGCCTCTAGCGTATGGAAAAAAAGGTGGAATTCCAAAATGCTGGTAGATGAATTACAGATTTAAGAAAGAAAATAAGCATAGATCTCATTACAAGCAAAAGAAAATGCAAGAAGTGAAGATTTTTTGTGCTATAGCTCAAGACTGACAACGTCTTATGCTCTGTTTTAGCTATTACTAAGGAAACGCCACCAGTCAACAGGAAGTACAGACACAACTTTTCTATCTTGGCTCTGCTGTTGAGAATATATACAGCTTGTTTCATCCATGTTTGAGGTTGTAGTTCTAATCTGATGCACAGAATACTGAAGATTTATTTAGGTCCTTCCACCATTGCCAACAGGAAGACCTGCCACAGGGGTAAACTTTCTCACAAGGATGTTGGCTGACGCAGAGATGGACCAGTTTTTTTGTAGATGAGCAAAAGAGGGAGAGGACAAAAGGGGCTTCCCTAGCAGGCCCAAACAGAAAGGCAGTCTCTCCTTTTGAGAAATTTCAGAAAAAAAATCACAACCCCCTTAACACACACAATTTCAAATTTCAAATCCACAGACAAAATATACAGATGACACTGAATATTAGCTTCAGGATAAAATTAAAATAAAATAGTAAACGTAAAAGATTCTGAGCGCTCTTACACTGATACTGAGAAGCAGGAATACTGTTACACATAGATTAAGTTAAACTCATTGTACATGTAATAACTCATATCCCTCTACCTGCCAGTGAGTTTTCTGGCTGCCTATTAGCTTAAGTTATTAGCAGGGGTTAATGGATGTGCCATATCTATCGTATAGGGACACATACATGGGACAGAATTCCTTTATTAATTACCAATTGTGGGTACATACTGAAGCACAGTATTTGATATCTCCCATCTGACACATACATTAAGTAACTGCAAATGCTATTAGTAGACATTGAGATGTTTTAAAGGATGACTTGCATGACGCTACTTGGCTTTCAGCTCCCTTGCTATGGATGATTTTTACACAACTAGGTCAGGAAAACAAAAGGAAAACACAATGTATAAAGACAAAAGACACAAGGCATGCATGTTCCAGAAAACTGGTTTCTATAGATAACACATTTGATTCAAGACAGAGAATCTATACTGTAAAATTTTCCTGTACACAACCAGTCAGTTTAGTATCTAACACACTATAAAATATTTATGGGGAAAGGCTGAGATACCTGGACTCCCTGGTTTACCAGTCACAGTATTTGGAGGCAGAGGTTTTCTTCGCATAGGTGTAGGCTTGACAGGAGGTATAGGAGGACGCTGAGGTCTTGGTGATGCAGTTACTGAATGACATTACAGGACAGTGTCGTTAATTAGTTACCCTCAAATTCCATAAAATCAGAAAACCTACTACAAGTTAAATTCTGACTTCTGAAATAATATTTAATGTTTCATTTATAATCAAAAGCAAAGAGGTGAAGCAAGGAGCCAAGAACAGTTGTATTTTCAGACTTAAATTCTTTGGGAAGTGGTGGTGTGGAACTTTAAACCAAGCTTACAATGAGAAAATGTAGCTCCTTTGGGATTTTGTACAAATACTTCAGAGATTTATTTTCTGTGTAGTTACTCACTTCTGTCAACAGTTATTTTTTGGCAGCTGACGGGATACTTCTTCCCACAATAAACACCACCTGAGTTTAGATGGAAATGTCTTCAGTATCCTACTCACAAAATTCCAATTCATTTGTGCTTTCTAACTGATAAAACTTGTCACTTTCAGCTTAAAGCATAAGATGTAGCAAAAGCGAAATGATTATTAGGGATATGTTATCTTATGTCACTTTAACATAAACAATGAAAGTCACAGTCAGCTCATGGATTGATATGAAAAAAAAAGACTGTTATTGTGTTAGAAACTCCTGAAGCAACCAACTAGGCTGCTTCAATGCACATTTCCAGCCAATATGCATTAAATTTATCTGGTAGGGTCCTTCGACAGCTAGCTCTGAAAGGAGAACCTAAGTCTGATAACTGATACAGAACATTTTTCTGTGTCTTCCAGGCTATTACAAAGGATTTTATCATGTAAAAGAAAGGCTAAAGGAAAAGATTTTTCTTCCACTATTCACCTCTGCACTTTTTTCCTTAGGAAAAAACTAGATGTGTGCAACATGTATATGTAACAAAAGACTTCTTGTACCTAAGAGGAGAAAACCCTTAACAGAATATAATTCTTAATATGCTGCCAATATCAACAAAACTGTGAGCTGCCTGATACTGAGTTACTGGCTATGTAGAGTTCCCCAGGACCTATTTATCAGACCCTAGTTTACCCTATAAATAGAGTGATTGTGGGTGAGATGGGAACAGATCCAAAGACTCATTTGGGAAAGCTTTTTTAGAAATACTTACAATATACAAACATGAACATCTCCATCTTTCTTGGTTCACTTTTACTTTCGGACTTCTGCAATCATTTACAACCCCTCCCTCCCCTTTTTTTTCTCCTTTTCTTATCCCTCAGACCGAGACAGTTAACAATGCTAAATCTAATTCAGAAAGATTTAGTGGTTTCAAAAACAGTATATATAAGTTTCATATTCATTCTTCATCAGGCAGAGATGAAAGAATATGCCTAAAGACTTGAAAAATTATATATTACTTGTTTATATGTCATCGTACCCTAGATATTACTACACAGTAGTACCCATAATTAATATCCAACTGCCCGTATGTAGGAAATGGGATTGTCTGAGGTATTTATGGGGTAAAAATCTGTAGGCACTGACTTGTTAGTGGTTTCTACTGTATCTTCCAAAGAACACAACCACAGTAGTTAAATGCAAGCTGAAACAGTGTGTCACACTTGAATCTACTATACTGCACTCTGGAAAAAAAAATGAGAATCCTTACCATTCCCTTCTACTTCCACGGTAATTTAGAAGACAGTCTATGATGTTACCAAATGTAATTAACTGAGTTTGTAAACTAGGACACACACAAGAATTTAGGGATTTTCTGATAGCCTGGCTTATTGTTAAAACAGTGGCATTGTGAACTATTAGGACTTATTTAATCTCAGGTGTTCTTTGGACAGGGAATGTATTTCCTTTACTTTATCACCCCTATCACTCTTCATGAAAAAGGAGGCTGAATAGCCTCTTAGGACATACTACTAACAACGCATCAGTGCTGCATGCTGTAATGCATCTTCTTCATACCTCATGTATGGTGTAAATGTCAGTCTGTCAGTTAACACACATTAAGATTTCAAGAAAAAAATATATATATACATAAAAGCTAGGTCAAATATTGGCTAACTTATAGCTATACCCAATAAATTGAGTTTTCATATACATATTAAGGCACCATAGAAAGAGCTGAGATCACAAAAGTATACAAGAAAATTATGGAACAGTAGTAGCTAACTTCACAAACATATCCGACTGTCTATTATGATTAGAATTCAAGGTATTGGCTTACTTCAAAGCTCTAAAAGCTTAACTTTAAACATCTAATGTCAAAAGATGAGTAAAAGCGTATGTAAAAGCATCCTTAAAATCTCTGTGCATAAAAAAAAATAATATTGCAGTGTTTGCAAATCACAGACTGGATTTACTTAAGTGGACATCACTGCTCGACATGCCATGACAGAAAAACAAAAAACAAAGAAAGCAAAACAGAGAGCCATGCTTCTTTTCAGTTTGTAGTTTGAATCCAGCTACTCCTAAGAGTATACCACGCTACATAATCTGTGCTGAATGCAACGTTCTGATTGAATTAAATTTAAAAAGATAAAACATCAGAACTCAGCCGTCAAGCAAGGCTGCTGTCTTTGTGCAGGTAAATTAGGTGCAAAGGAAATCCAGTAGGGATTAGGAGCAAACAGCAGTTTATTAATTACTAACAAGTGTATATCTGTATCTCTTTTTTTAAAGCCAAATAACATATTTTCAAAAGGAAAATCTAAACCAAAAACAACAGACGCAGCTGAAAAATAAATCCAAGGGCAAAGTCAGAAATATTTTGAGTCTAGTCAGTTTTTATGCCAGTAAAAAAGCACAGTTAAAAGCAAGGTCTATTCCTAGTTATGCTAATAAAACCAAGAAAATTCTCTGCGAGTGTGTTTGCATGCTTGTCTGTATTGTTATGTGTAGATGTGGAACAAAAAAAAGTGAAACATGAGAAGGCTATTTTTAAAGATTTATTCAGGGAAGTTGTTTTTCTGTAAAAATATTTAGAATATTTTGAAAATGGAATTGTAAGACTTGCAAGAGAAGTAAAACTGACAAGTCTTTTATAGCACATGTAAAGTTAAAAATCACATGTAAAGTCTACTTAAGTTAAAAAACTGTAAGCTTATTCACTCCCACAGTGTTTTGCAACAATCCTAGCATTCTAATTTTCCTAACAATCCTAAGGTCCAAAAAAGCGTTCTCATAAGTGGGTAGGTAATTTGGTTAAGCATTTCCCATTGCTAGTTAGAACCCACAGATATGAAAAAGATCAGTGTTTACAGTAGAGTGGCTGTTTAATCGCAAGGATACAATGAGCACTGGCAATGGTAATATTTAGTCACAAACATATGCCACATACTAAGTACTGACCATGAAATATTCTTGTTTTTCTCTCTCTTAATACCATCCTGAAGCCAAGAGACAATGCACTAATGAGGATGACCAAAACTTATTTTCTCTTCTTCAGTGGAGGTGTTTTTTTGTTGTTGTTGTTTGTTTGTTTGTTTTTGGTGTGTGTATGTGTGTGTATAGGAAAGGCGATGTTCCAATTTTTCATGACTATTAAAAATTGGTACATTGTCCTTTTTATTCATCTTACCAGAAAATGGCTTTTCGTGGGTATCAGTATATTCAAAAGGTTTTTCTACATCTACGCCAATTTGTCTAGTAATATCCTCAGGTGTATAAACGTCATCTGTGAAACAAAAGGATATGAATTAATTATCTACAGAGCAGTACCAAGTTATATAATACTTCTATATTGTATGTGTCCAAATTCTAGGTAACATGACGTGTAAAACTGGTATTTTAGTGATAACTATTACCTTCCTATTTGAATATGTAGAAAGTGGTCTTGGCATAGAGAGTCTACACTTTAATTTTAAATATTTGTTGTAAAAGGCCTGTTTACACTTTAATTTTAAATATTTGTTGTAAAAGGCCTGTTTAGAAAGAGGGTAAGATTAAGAGATAACTACTAAGAAACCAAAATTATATGTGGAAGGATGAATACAGGGCACGTTTTAGTATTTCTGTACACAGAATAAAATGTCTGTTGATTTTTGTTACGGGCAAAGTTCTCCTCTTCCTGAAAAATAAGATCTTCGATTATCCTCCATATTGAATAACTAGAGGAATTCTAAACCAAACACATACCATATTTGCAGTAGTGGAGGCATAAAAAAAGTGTGCGTAAAATTCAGCTTGTATATAGAAGAATGTCCCACTTAAAAGTAATATAAACACATACACACAAACACAAAAAAAGAAGTAAATGGCATTAAAAAGATCAACACAACTACTCCTGGTACAGAACAATTGTTTCACATGCTGACATTTATAGGACAGCCAAATTGTTAAATTAATATGCCTTCCCTACACAGAATAAGCATATTTACTTTATAAAAACTCTATATATGGTAGACTGAGAAGACGCTTTACAATTTCATCATTTTTGTGAAAAGTTCACCCTTCTCATGACCTTAGAACCACTCCCCCTCCAGCAATTTAATGTATCAACTAAAAGAATACACACACATACCTACACACACACATATAAATTACCAAGTTAGAAAGACTATTCCAACATAATCAAAACATTTCAACTGAAGATTTCACGTTTCTAATCTGGTACTCAGTTTATTACTAGACTACACCTATATTCCACCAGTATAAAACAAGTAGTTTTTCATAAATTTTTCATGGTAAATACGATGAAGGTCTCCTGGTTCCTGTGACTGAAATTCTTAAACGTAATGTGATTTTTGTTATAACTGAAATTTGTCTTCAGGTAACTAAATTGGTTAATTAGGTCTTCAGATATACAAAGCACCAGAGTACTAATCAATGTTTCACATGACTAGCGTTCAAGGATGACACATGAGAACATCAGCATTAGCTTTAAAAAGAAAAATAAATCGTATACACCGTGGGTTACAGTCAAAGTATATTAGCTTCTAAACTTCATCCCACAATAAATATGCATCATCCCATTGCCTCAATCTCACAAAATCATCCAGATATCTATTACATGTCTAACTTAGTTTTGCACCTGTGTCTACAGAAAAGCCTGCCTTTATTTTGCTCTTCACTATATAGTTTAGAATTACAATCTCTTCTGAATTGTATTGGCTATCAACAAACAACATGCTGTATATATTCTATATGGTATTACTGCCATTAGTAAAATAGTAGTGCAAATTATGTGAAAGGAAAAACAAAAATCTCCTCTTTAATGTTTCAATGCACTTCAAAGTCACGTAAAAGTTCGCCTGTATCTCCACACAAAGTATCTGCAATGTCATACAACTTGCTGCATTTATCATAGCATTTGCCTTAAGCAAGTAACATTACCTAGCATCGTATAAGCATTTCAACTCAGCACATTCATCCAGACTTTTAACAGAACTGAGAATAGACGTGTTAGACAAATGTGTGTTGATGTTTTCTTTACTTTCATCATTTTTTTCCTGGAAATATTAATGGGATCTGGAACACCTTAAAGCTAACCACTGCACCTTGAATAGCAGGAATACTATCAGAAGTGTGGATCATTTTAAGAAGTGGGAAAAGGTGCCATTGATAAAAAAACAAACCAAACTGGAATACTTTAATATTTGAGTTCATCTAGAACCTAGCTATATGCTCACATTTTCAAAAATACAAACAAAGCACAGCATGAAGTTGATATCTGTTATAGTGAAAACAAACTCTCTCACAAGGGAGATGAAACATTGCTGAAACTTGAGTAAAGGTTGTCCAGAAGTTTAATAGACTATGAACAACTTTTACATTGTTAAGATTAAACCAAATAATGCTTAAGATATATCACATGAACTAAAATAAGTATGAAAAGCCATGTCATTAAAAATAAATTATACAGAATGTGGCCGGGAACATGGTAGAAGACTAAAAGGAATGTTAGTTAAGTGGCTGAAACCTCTGCCCGTTTCCCAAAGTCAAGTTTACCACCTGGCATTACAGCTAACAATACAGCTAGCCAGGAGACTGAAAAGCCTGCCAGGAAATCAACCGCAATCCCATGTGCTGCTGCTGGGAAGAACAAATTCCAGAGCTTATCATCAGGGCCTCACAGCTGCCAAACACACTCTGCATGGAGTGGAACATCTTTGCATTGATGCTAATGGGTACACTCAGGAAGAAGAATTGGTGTGCATCCAATAAGCATTGCCCGCACAACAAGGAAGTAAGATCCAAAGTGGTCTTAAAACAATAGACTATCGAATGTACTCTTCTTCAAAGAAAGAAAAAAAAAAGATGTAATGTTTAAATGTAAGCTTGAAAACTTGTTGTCCCTTACAGCTTGGTTAAGGATTCTGATCAGTTAATCACAGAAAATAACATCGTTTTCCTAATGGAAGAAATAAACTTCTCTATCCTCAAAAATTATCCAAATATCTTAAAAGATAATTTCTCTAAGATATCATCTACTGAAAAAGAAAAAAAAAAAAAAAAAAAAAAAAAGGCTTTTTTTGCCTTTGCTCAGCTGGTAAGATTTAGGGGATTTAGGGTTCCAGGTTAGTGGAATTCTCTTTTTTAAGTCTCTTCTGCAGACTTCAAGATTGTTTGCTAAACATAATGGCACATTGCTTAGGAGGAATATAGAAGATTTCCTTTTAATCGATTACCTGAACCCTCTCTTGTACAAAATGTTTTTTTTTGTGAGCATAGACATCCTTGTATGCTCAGACACTACATTTGCCACAATATTGTGACGCACTTACTCTACAAGAAGACTTGGGATTTCACTTTTTGATCATAAAGGGAGGAATAAAGCACAGAATGAAAAGAATTCATTAAAAGTTCTAGTCCTCTTCATCATGCCATAAATGTAAAAAAAAAAAAAAAAAAATCACTGATGATTTCTCTAGCATTCAGAGAAGAAAGATGTACTCTCATAGGAAGTTATCAATAAGTGCCAGCAGCACTGGTAGTACAAATAAACAGGTAACAGACAATAAATACCAACTCTTCCTAAGCAGTTTGAACACCATGTTTAACTGAAAGTGCTCACTCAGTAGGATGCAAAATCTAGGTAACACACATCTTCAGGACACTTATTTCACTTAGGAAAAAAGACTTGCTTAACTGAGCAATGGAAAATATTGCAAAAGCATAATTTTCAAGAGCTCTAAATGAAGATACCTATTTGCTTGTGAATATACCTAGCATACACAGCAAAATAATAAATAGCCTTGTGGTGATTTCTGACATCATCTACCATAAAGGAACACTACTTCTTGCTGACAACTGGCCCTACTGTAACGACATGGAAATAATGACTAGCAGGTACTCCAACTGGAGCATTTAAAATAAAGATTGCTTAAACTAATACTTAGCAATCACCTAAAATAGCATAAAGCACAATAAACTATACTTAAAACAATTTAAACACCTATTATCATGTTTATACTGCTATTTTACCTAGAATGTTTTGTGTGTTGTTTTTTTTTTTTTAAAAAAAAACCTTCTTAATCTAAAAATGCCACTGCCAAAGACATTGCTATATGGTAGAACACAAAAACTTCACATACTGTCTAACATAATTGTGTATTCATGCATTTGGTGATCGGACATTAGAAAGGTCACTTTCTGTGAAGTAGATTGCCCAGCACTAGTGAATAGCAAAACTTCTTGAGCCAGGATTACTGCCATCCTAAGTCATTTAATACTATAACTGTTCCTGATGTCCTGCAGTCAGATGGGCTCATTTCATTTCCCAGAAGGAATATGAAAGGTCAAAGAACACATATCTCCAATGATGACATCCCCTCTATATGTAATACAAAAGAGCATATCATGTTCAGGCTATTTTTAATTCAATTTAGATATACAACCATCTCTGGTTATTTATTCTGGATTATCACCTGGCCTATTGCCTGGTTATTTATTCTGGACCTATCATATGGAAAACATCAACGAACAGTAGACATATTATATACTTTACCTCTAAGACTACACTTATCACATATAGTACCATTTCACGGTAGCAGTCAGGAACAATATAGCATTACTAGTAACAGCAATTACATACAGTACTCTAAAGAATTAGCTTCTATAATCATACGTAATTAAATATTTTGCAAGGCTTAAGATCATTTCAGGAAGTAACATTCGTGTGTTTTTGCTAATATCTTAAAAACAAACAAACAAACAAAGCACACAAAAAAACAGCTCTACCTGTTGTTGGCACAATCCACTTTGGCAAGCCAGGTGATTTTGTTCTAGCTGGTGCTAGTGTAGTTTTACTAAGAGCTGTGAGGAAGTTTAAAAGAAAAAGCTTAATGAGAAGAAAATGAGACTTCTAAGTGATGCCAACAATTCCATATTACAGAAGAAAAAGCAAGAGTTGCTGTGGTGGCATACAATTTTTTTTCCTAAATTGAAAAGGCTTTACCTGAAGACTGATTAATTGAAAGAAGCACACCCTTTTTCTCTAGCAATACTTAAAATTCCTCTAAGAACAGGTGAAAATCATTAAAGAAATAAATAGTGGACCTCCTTCCCATACCAAAGTGAATAAACAATTATTACCAGGTCTGGTCTGTGATTTATCAGATGGTTTTGGTCTTGCAGAAGTGAGACGTGTTTTATATGCCGCTAAAAGAAATAAGGTTCAGTTTAAATGCTATGTGTATAAGCAGTGTAATTTGCCACAAAAAAAGGTCCATGCACCAATGCGATATAGCAAAATGGACGTATGAGAATTCTATGAGTTCCGATCCAAAATGCACGCTGAAAATGCTAGTTTCTTTAGTGGTCAGATGACTCCATCATGCAGTCTGACCAGTTACATTCATGTTTAGGTTTAGGAAAAGATATAAAATATTTACAGCCAGTTACCCAACTGTATATGGATACAGAGTTAGCTCTGCAAGGTATCCATGGCCTTAAGACATTTAATTAGGTTCTGTAAAAAACAAAAAAACAAAAAACCTCAAAATAAAACACCAAACTGAACCCCCCAAAATCAAATATTCAGATAAAAACATGAAACATTAAAATATTGCCGAGAAGACTACTGGAAGCATACAATGCAGGCACTATGCATGGCTGCTGAAGCATAGCGTCATTATCAAAGTTAAAATTAAAATTACTAGCCTTCAACCTTTTCCTACTGTCGTCTTTCACTTGCAAAACAATTTTGAAATTTTATTTGTTACAGTATGTGTGTGAATCACACTGAAACCTGAAAATTTAAGTAGTCATCACTGTCATCTTATGCCAAATAACTGACCTGAGTAACTCAAACACTTTTACATAAATACAGCTATCCACCTGATACTTGAGTCTAACAACCATTCTATCAACATCAGTTACTCTAGCCTCTCTGAAGTTTCTGAGAAAACATTTATGCAGGAAAGAACATATTACTAAGTTCTGACATTCAAATTTGGTAAAAATTTCACAAATACTGAGAAAAAGGTGGGAGTCAGTTATGTTTGTGTTTGCAATGCTTTTGATCTGTGGATCAGACACAAAACACTAATAATGCTTAAAAGCTTTCAAGGGTAGTAACAACAGACCACTAAACCTCAATTAGAGGTTTATATATACTCAGTTAGAGGTTTAAATAGACTCTCAATGCAACAAGCTAAGAAAATTATAAGAATTACCTGTATGTAACCGTGGAATTTCAGTTACAAGAGCCGTTTTAGGTTTGGGTGAAATCTGGTATGTTTCATTGGGAACTGAAAGAGGAGATTTGATTGCTTATCAAATGCAAATGATTTTCTTTTAAACATCAGATACCACAGGTGGAAGGGAAATTCAAACATAGCGCAGACCATAAACAAAAAGGGTGAGTGATAGAAACCTGACTGAAAATCATGGATTTATACCAGAACTTCAAGACTGGGAAGATATACGTAATTAAAAAGCTAGACAACAGAAGAAAAGATGAGCAAGACATCTTTTTATATGACTCCTCAATCATGTACATGAAGCATTTATTTCTATAAATAATTACAAACAAATTGGATGGAACATGACTGGAAAATTAAAACCAGCAACATTTTGTACATGCCCTGGAACGTGCCTAACTAATGAAGAAGATGAAGATATATTTAAGGTATTTCTGTTGATTAAAGGATAAGTTTAGCCATATAGCAAAAGCAGAGAAAGTGAAGTTATAAAAATAAAATGTCATAATATTCTCATTACCCAAAGTCATTTTGGACCCATCAACAACATGAACTGTTATGAGGTTAATTGATCCCAGGTGTGTTGTCCTTGGAGCTATGAGAAATAAAACATTGTTCTGTGAGATGTGAAATCAATGATGTTGGATTTCATTAAGTATCTGTGTCCTTTGTTTCATAAACATCTACCTACGCATCTTTTAAGACAATTTTTACAGATTTAAGACAGGCCTGTGTTCTGAGTAGTCTGGAGGTATTTTCATGCTGACAGACAGACATTGCAAATATTCTGCTGGGCCTCCACCTACTTCAGAACAGACACCCTAATAGAGGACGCTAACTTGCATTTCCCTCAAAATTCTCTAAAAGATTGTAATAATATAATTATCTTTAAGGCATTCTTCCCTCATTCAAAATTGACCACATTTTGTCAAAGATAGAAAGTTACTGGATGAAAAGGAAAGACTGGCAAGCAGAAGTGCATGCTACATGTGTCTCTTCTCTTTCAGAAACAAGGTTAAAATATGGAAGCTGGAAAATAACCTACTTATTAGGATGAAGGGTAATGACTAATTAGTGCCATTTATTTTTAACAACTTTCCAGATAACAGTAGAATTTCTTTTGCATATAGGTCATTACAATTATTTAAATTTTAAACGTTAAAAACATAACCCCTTAAGTTCTGTTTTCTAAAATTCTTCTACTAAACTGAACTGTGTAGTGGTGCCAAAATGTGGTACTTGTTAACTATGACAAGATTGGAAATAGCTCTAATTCAATTGAGACTTAGAATCTAGCTTGGTTACTTACAGAGAGTCTTCCAAAATAATCCTTTAGAAAACATTTTTTTTTTTGGCTAGACTGTTCCATTTGATTTTCATAATAAAATACGTGTACCATTCTTTAATGAATAGGGTCTCTGTTTAAATTGTTTCTGGCTACATGAGAAGTCTAAGGAAAAAGGGGGAATGATAAAACTATTCACAAACCTAATTGCCTAAAAAATAAAGTATCACCAGTTTGGGACTGGGAATTAGGAATGAAGAAAAGTTAAGTGTTGTTCTTTCTTATGATCATGTTGTCACACCTTCCCTAGATTATTTTTTTTCCATTATAAGCTTCCAATGTAGTAATTTTTATGGAAATAGTTCATACCCCAGGTGAAGCTGATATAATATACATCCTTCATTATAATTATGCATCCGTAAATTTACTATTATTACTGCACTGATTAGAAGATGGTACTTGTACTCTTACCACCTAACTATTTTGGACTACGATCCTGTAGCCTGAGTTTCAAAAGTACTTGCACATTTATCTGGTGTAATAAATTTGCCCCAAATAAAAGAACTTAGTGAAACCAGTTACAGTAGTGTATCTTCACTCAAATTAATCAAGTTCCTCATATTTTAATGGCTTCTATCAACCAATTAAAAAATAAATTTATAAAAAAGAGCCACCCTAACTTGTGTGTACCCATAGACATGACCCAGTTCTGGGGCATTCTTTTCGATGTAATTCACTGAGGTATTCCGAGTTGAACAATTACACTAATTTCTCTCTAAATACCGATCATGTCACATCCCTGTAGTACCAAATGACAGCAAAAGTGTAACTAAAGTAGTGCTCCAATAACACTTTTAAAGTTAAAAACTTTGAAATTACCAGGTTTAGTCTGTGGTATTTCTGGCTCAACAGATGTTTTGGGTTTGGAAGGAACGAGCAGTGTTTCTTTTGGAGCTGAAAGAAAGGAAAAAGATTATTGTTGTATTTTTCAGGAGTCACAATCCAATGCCATACTTAGCCCACAGAAAGTGCATGCCTCAAGTGCCTGAAAAAAAGACAATAACAATTCCATGGGTTTCTGGAACCTGAAACAAAATGGCTCTCCAAAACACAGTGGTATTCTAATACTGTGCTGTATGATAATGTGAGTTAGTGGCTAGAACTCTTGCTCTAAAAGAAAAATTAGACCACTGAAGTTGGTTAGAGAACTGAAAAATACAGTCTTCTTGCTAGACATGAACGGTAGGCAATTTCTGCCTTAGCTCGAAGATAGAACTGAGACTCTTCTGTATTAAGAAACATGCACGCGTGTAAGCAGAATGATGGACAGTGGACTGATACTGCATAAAAGAACACACCAGAGCATATTCTCTAGAAACTTCCCCATCGAACAGTTAAAAAGACCTGCATCTTAAGTTTAAGGAAATGTATTTACCCATTGTTGCCCTTGACTGCTCAGTGGTAGTAGAAGATTTTGTAATAAGTGGTTGTGGGGTTGTTTGATGTATTGCTGTTAAGGGAGAAAATGTTGAGAATCTTAAAATTTAACTGTAAAGAAACAAAGCAGTATTTGCACTATTTCTAAAGCTTTCAAAATGCCCCAAACTAAAGAGTAGCAGAATATCTTAAAAATCAACTGTTGACAGTTATCAGTATCCTTCTATTAACATCTATACATTACTTCTATAACAAAAATGGGAAGAGACACAGATCTTAACTATTTTAAAAGTACTTTTGTTTCAGTATAACACATGTCAGTTGCTACGTGTAACAACATATTTCAAAGGAGTTAGATTGCATTTTGTGGGTGAAAAAACATGCTCATTAGAGAAGCCCCTCTGATTACAAGACAGCAATAAGAGAGAACTCAGTGTATCTAAGCCACTGAAAATTGTCAACACTCAAATTATTAGTCATCATTTGCTGAATGTAATAAGGAGGAGGAAAAACATATACTACAGATGCTACTATTATTTTCAGCGTAGTTTTGACATTTTGGATTGACTGATCTAAAGGTTGATTTACCATTGATTCACCATAAAACCAGATACGAATAATTCTGTTTAAAGCAGAAAAACTCAGGCTAGGGGAAAAGAATGATTAAATAGAAACACACAAAATTACAAGATTGACTCAATTACCAGGTTTGGTGTGTGGCACTCTTGGTTTTTCAGGTTTTTTTGGTTTGGTATGAATGAATTGTTTTTCACTTGGAGCTGAAATTAAAAAAAAAAAAAAAAGAGAGAGAGAAAGAAAAAGAAAAAAAAAGCACCCATAAAAATAATTGAAATATTCTTTGAAAACAAAACAAAACAAACAAAAACACTGTTTCCATAGTACACAAGGAATATTGTAGTACACAAGGAAGTATGATCTAATCTATATTAAGAGAAGCTGAAAATCAGTCAGTTGGAATTCCTGTAAAGAAAGGAAAAGAAATTAAATGGCCACTGACACAGACAGACTTCCCAACAGTTATACACAGATTTGTAGCTTTGGATGAAGCAGTGAAGAACACAGTCACAAACAGCACACAATAAAGTAATGGGACAAAAACAGACAGTAGTAGCCTTTCTGTGCTGTACATGAGAATCTGAAGACAGTACCTGTTTTCAGTGGGCCCTTCATATCAGACTTGATATATAAATTAATTCCTTGTTTTTACATGGGAACTATTTATCCCTGTCATTTCCATACTATTCAGTACTTCATTAATCTCTATAACTTCCTGAGAGGGGAAGTGGAGAGGGAGGTACATTTTTCCCCTGGTATTCAGTGACAGAAACTTGTAAGAATGGCTCAAAGTTGCATCAAGGGAGGTTCAGACCAGACATTAAGAAAAGCTTCTTTACTGAGAGGGTAGTCAGGTGCTGTAACAACTTCATAGAGAAGTGACTGATACCTCATGCCCGTCCATCTTTAAGAGGCATTTGCATAATATCCTTAATAGGTTTTAACTTTTGGTTAGCCCTGAAGCTATCAGGCAGTTGGAATCAATCAATCAACCAATCAATAGGTCTCTTCCAACAAGAACTATTTTATTCTATTCTAGTAATTCTGTCATGACTTTCGTACTGGAAAAGATATTTTAGCACTTTCAGCAAACACGTGCAAGTCTGTGATCCACACCAATGTGAAAGGTCCTCAAAAATCGACCTTAGCCTGTACATTCTTCACCCACTTGTTCTAAAGAACCATTTTGTGCACGTAAAAGATTCCATCAGGTAGGCCCAGATGTGTATGATGAGGCACATAAACTTCATAAAGTTATGTAAAGATACCAAATACCTAAGTATCAATGCATACAGAGAATAGATATTAAAATACGAACATGATGAAAAGCATTTCTAGTGTCCTATTTGCCACAGGGAAAAAACCATACATAAAAGATTATTAAACAGTGGTTATTACTTCATTAATGATACCACTTAATTCTCAGAAAATCTTGGACGTCTCCCCCTGAAACCAGGGACAGAGAACAATTATTAGCAAAGATTGTTAACCCTACTGCCCTATTCTGCATGGATTCATTCACCCTTATTTAGTCCCCATCTGGCAAGTTAAGAAGAAAGAATTCTGAGACTGATGTTTCACATATTTAAAAAGTTTTCCCAGTAGGTATTACTAAAAGTTAACAGAGAAAATGGTTTAAGAAGTGGTGTTTGACTTGTGAAGTCACATAACTTGTATGCTTTGCTGTATGTTATGCTGTAGTTCATACATTCTTCCGTAAAATTATACAATGAATAGTAAAGCAGAACAGCATTTTATGATAACAGTATCCATACCTCAGATGCAGAAATGACAGGAATCACTATCTGTTCTTAAATAAAGCTCACTTTTACTGGAAAATATATAACATTTGAAGGAATTATGTCCTCCTGATTGGAATGGCTAGAAGATGAGGAAAGGAACCTTCAAAAGTAAATGAGCTTGTGCATTACTTCCCTTATCAAGATCAAAGAGCAAGCTGGTATCTAGAATCAGAGCAAAACTGCATTATTAGTTTTTAATATGATGTAATGAGCACCTTCTCTAACAAGAATAAAAAGAGAGTAATTATTTATGAAGCAAATGATTACCCGGTGTTGCCTTTGTTCTTTCAGGAACATGAGGAATCATAGCAGTAACTGGTTCATGGAAGGATGGAAAGATTCCTGTTGGAAAAAGTTTGGATAAATGCTCAGAAGAATGAAGAGATCCTCCTCCCTTCCTCTCTCCCCACTCCCTTAAAAAAAAAAACTCAGAGATTTATGTTTATGAAGAGTTTTTTTGTTTGTTTGTTCGTTTTTGCATTTAAATACTTAAAACAAAAAACAAAAAAACACGACAACTCTTCAGTGAAATCAGTGATTATCTTACACAGGTCAGCCAGATTTATGACAGGGATTCTCCTAAATGGAATACAATAGAAGGGAATACTCAGTCTCATTTGGGTGAAAATGTGTATTTAAGGGAAAAAGCACTTCAACAACCATATGAGAGTTCTCTGATAAATTTCAAAAACATGATGCTACAAAAAAACAAAGTGTGTGCTCGGGTACAAGTTGTTAATAACTTCATATCATTCATCTAAATATATGGGTCCCTACTATTCTTCCAGTAACACAAACACAATATTAAAAAAATCTTGAATTACTGTAGTTTCTTAACTTATAGGTTTCTTAAACTATAGTAGTACAGAGGTAATAGCAAATGTACTGCTGACAACTCTACATCCCCCCTGCCTCCCCCCTCCCCCCCCACACCTCCACCACAAATGGGTGCCCAGTTATCAACCACAGCATTACAAAAGGCAAGGGTAATTTACCAGGCTTGCCGGGTGGAACATCTGGAATGGGAGCTGGTTTAGGTTTAAAAGGTACATGTTGTGGTTCTTTAGGAGCTGAAAGAAAAGACTTGTTTTAAGGGTATATACTCTTCAGAAATTAGTCAGGTATTGCACAGGCACTGCACGCCTTGTGCCTTCAAGAAAAACAAACTGCAATCTCCGCATGAGTGACTGAAAAACTGAGAACAGACATATGCAAGTGTTTAAAGGAAAAGAAAAACATAAATTTAAAATGAGTGGAAAAAAACGATCAAGTAAGCAAAATCTCATTGGAGTCCAGGAACAAATCTGAAAGAACACAGACAATCACCAGCTGAGATGTTCCCATCCGTAGTTCAAAGCTGACAACTGCAGTAGCCATGGCATGCTTGTCTCCTACAAGAGTCAAAACAATTGTGATTCATGTAAGAGTGAAACAGAAATTTTCCGTGAAGACAACGACACAGCTAGGACTCTTTCAGTACCTGGAACAGAGTAGAATTAAGATCAATATGTAAACAAGGAAAACAAATCAAACCCACGAACAGATCATGTGGAAGCAGAATAATAATCCACAATATTTGGTCCACAGAGTAGCTGGGAAAAAAAAAAATAATCTCAAGGTAATATCATTACCTAACATTGTCTTTGTTTGCTCAACTGTAAATATAATAGGTACCAATACTTCATAAAACAAGAATGTACAAGAATTAGTGGTAAGTATCATCAAAATGTACAATACCCCCTTTACTGATTTCTTTTTAAATTGCAATAAATATTAGTGAATATGCACTAACTAAAGGAAGTTTCAACTGATGCCTTTAGAACCACTACAAGTTAGGGATGTTTGGCAATTTGCTAGCATGCAAGTAATACTTTTAAGGGTCTAATTCCATTACCAGGGCACACTTGAACAGAAGAGATGCAATTTTCTTCCACGAACATTGTTACAATGTTTATATGTTGTTTACTCTGCTATGCAAAATTAGTCATCAGTGACAACCGTCATGTGACAGAAAAGCATATGCAACCCACCAAAAAGCAGCAATCAAATATATAAACCAGCTCCATCTTCCTTTACACATGTATTTCATGTTCATTACAAAATTATTCGCTTGTAATATGAAGAGATGTTAATCAATGCTTTATTAATTAAGAAAAGACAACCCAAAGAAAACCCAAATATTCAAGGACAACAAAACAACAGGTATTTACCAGGTTTGTGTATGCACATCTGGACTTGGTGATGTTCTGGTCTTGAAAGTGACTCGTCGACTTTCGTTTGGACCTGTGAAAACGAGCTAAGTTTTGAATGCTGTAATGAGGTGATGACTAATCAGAGGTCTTTTGATTTTCCTGACAGGATATTCATTTTCTGTAAAGAAAGGTTTTTTTTAAGAAATATTATTTCCATTTGAAGGTAATCACAAAGAGACCTAATGCCAATGCAATAAGTGTTAGTGCTGAGATTACAGACAAAGTGACTGTTACAGTGCAGTGTTGGATTAACTCTCCACTTCTCCCAGTTCTCTGCAACAAATCTTTCCACAGGCAGACTGCTATAGTTCTAACAGTTCCCTTAGCTGCACTTCTCCAGTGTTTCACATTCCAAAAATCTGCTGCTTGCTTAAATTAACAGAGCATTAAAAAAAAAAAAACAACAAAAAAACCCACAACATTTCCAGCAAAGCAGTCAGAGCAGAAGAAACATGGAAATTTACAACTAATTTTCAAATGGACAGAGCTATTCCCAAACCGAAGTTTTGGGAACAGGAAAGTATCCTAATTTTGCACTTGTAAATGAGTAACTAGAAAATACAAGTACCTCTTTCACATGCTGTGGAAATTGAGACACAAGTTTTCTAACTTCCAAAATTAGAGTGTTTAACCCCCACACCCCAACCATTCTACAAGTTATTGACAAACACAAATATCTGTCTTGTTTCATGACAGCTATGTAGCAAAATTTCATTATGACAGTAAAACACAGCCTGTTCAATAAAATATTTGTGTACTTTCAAAGAACTTATGATTTTTAGCAATTTTCAAACTGAAAAAAATCATACACTAAAGTGCAAAATATTGAGAAGCTTACTTGCTCTGGTTGGAGGAACACGGGGACTGGGTGATGTTTTAGGTTTTGAAGGCCCATGACGCGTCTCTCTAGGAGCTGAAAGAAAGAAACTGGGTTACACTGTGTTACCATTTTCAGTGTCCACTACCATCTGCAGTCACCAGAAACAGAGCAAAGATTTGAGCCAAAGATGCTTGTATGGAAGTGATGCAAGGGGTATGAGTTTTCTTGGAACAAAACCAATTTGTAGAGAAAATACTCTTCTGTGACATATCATCAACAGAGCATGTGACAGAATTATTGTTTCTGTTTAGAAGAAATCAGGGCCTGGAATTCACATCTCTTCCCTCCATGGAAACCACAGAGAGCGTGATGGGTAAATAGCATGTAATTCCATTACCATTTCTCATTCCTTGCCATCACGTGGACAATGCTAAAATTCATTCAAACACATTGCTTTGAAGACTACTTGATAAAAGGCGCTTTTTAAAAAAAATTATTTCTTCCCATCTCAACCATTTCTTTGTAATCAACTTTATTTCAAAGAATAGGTACTTAAAAATCAGTAAGAATAATTCTACCTAGCATGAGATATCAGCATTGACCTTACTTCACCTCATGCCAGCTTCAGTGTTCATGTAGCACCTCATTTCACAGTCATCTCTAAAGCTGCTGCTATCTTGCTTGATCACATCCGTGTTGTCTTGAACTGCTCAACAGCTGCTGTTCAAATACTGTGGCTCTGAGGTCCATTTTCATTTTAACTCCAGATTTTATTTCAGCTTTTGATGAAAAGCAGCCTGTTTCTTCAAGATCTGAAACATCTGGCATCCAAGAAATGCTGTCAGCTGTACCTGGTAATAGTTGAAAATGTGGTTTTAAATAAAAATTACAACACAGATTTTATCATACTTTTGGCATGTTACTAGTTAACATGAATTAGAATAACTACAGAACTGTAGTTATGTAGATTAATTTGTTCTCTCAAATACCAGGCTAATTTAGGAATTTTTTTTATGATACAACAAAATAATAAGCACTCTTTTCTGTCCTTGGTCTACATTCCTAATATATTAAGAAGTCTGTATTGCAGTGCTTGATGTTAATAAGCTTTAGCATGTCTGTGAACTGTTAGCATGAATTAGCATGAACTGTGTGCAGGAGCTACATCAGTTTTGTTAGCGTTCCACAGACAGTAACTTGAGAATCCTTAACTTTAGCAAGGTACTTATCTAACTGGAAGGCCACTTTTCTTTTTTCTTTTCCCCACGACAGTTCTTCCCTCTGTTGACTGAGTCCCGCTGTATTTAGCTTGTAGGAAATTGTTCATGATCCTTTGCTATCCTGACATTCGGTGGAAATAATGCTTATGCAGTTGGTCTTCCTACCTGTTCATCTTTATTCCTTTCACTTTAATAAATTAAAACAGTTTGATCAATCAGATGAATTTGCTTAGACAGTTTAAAAACTTAATGTTAACATTAGAAATATGAGTCAATATACAAATACCTGTATTGACCTAATACAGATTTTTAAGCCTTAAAATGGAGCATGCACGTTTAGTAAGTTTTGGCCAATGTGACTAGTTCCTTTATTCCAGCATTTTTGGTTCAGTAAAAATAGTATTAAATCTGCAACATATTGGCAGTGCAACATGAAATTAAGCAACAGCCTGATGCTTTACAGATGATGATATTCAGCTGCAAATATAAATGTAAAATAAGTAAAGGTAACCTAAATCATTTTGTGGGATTATCCAGTTTGCATGGAGATGAATGAATATGGAAGGTTTAATATAGCAGGGAATAGATCCTTCAATCCCTTCATTCAAATAACTTCAAAGCAGTTAGATATCTAAGTTAGACATTTTGCTTTGCTGCCAGTAAACAAGACAGGATAGGTCCAAAGCTAATAGGAATTAAAACATGATTATTGCATGCATTGCAATGCATTGCTTGAGTACAACTTCTTAAACAGCTACATAGCACTGTAATTAAACAAAATATTTGTAAAAAATTGCTCCACTTCTATATGGTGTTATCAAACTTTTGGTGTTATTGCTAGACTCCAATAAAATTTAACTTGTTAGATTATTTGCACAATATTCAATAATTAATCTAAAGCATATATAGTTTTCCTGTTCTTCCTTGCCAGCGTTTATTCTATAGGGTTCTTTAACATCTTGTGTGCAGAGATTACATTAAAATTTGTCAATGTGTTGCAGAACAACTGTGAACAAATGCAGTTATATCAATGCTCAAGGTTCTACTTGTTTTACTGTGTCTGTATGAAGACATACTTTGTTTCCTTTCAATAATGACAATTCCATCCAAAGACCATTTCATGTTGTTGCCAGAACTCCCTTGCAGTAAGGAGTGGAGTGAATGTGCATTTGATTGGAAACTTTTAGCAGCTGTCCAGTTGCTTGTAATTGCAAACTAATGGTAAAGCTTGCACACTCCAACTAAACATTCTTAAAATCAAGACATGGAGATGACTTAAGTTTTATGCATTTATTTGTCAGAGGTAGTTATCAGTATTTATCACTAACACATCTTCCATACTGAGCAATAACATCTGATCAAATGCCTTAACAGAATCATTCAGCAGTGTTTTCTACGTATTGGCGTAATAGCGCATTCAAGTTCATCTCTTTCATTCGGTATGCTTTGCCTGTAAAGAAAGTTACACTGTGCTCTTTCCAAACCAGATGGTGGATAGGGGCCCAATACTTACAGTGTCTGGGAGAATGGATAGAATCATGTCTGTTCTAGCCTGACGTTAATCATTTTAATGACACATGGACATTCCCATGCAAAGATGAGCCCCAGATTTCCAGGAGAGTTGAAAATGTGATTAAGCATGATAATAATGACTGATTAACAGATTTTAGGCATATGTTTGGTTTGAGATGAGAACAGTTAGCATATACAGTTGTTCATATTTGAAGGACTGCCTTGCAGTAACCTGCCTGAGGAATTCTGGTTTGATTCGGTTTTGCATGTTTGTGTGTGTGTTGGAGAGAGAAAAGAGCGAATGGAAGAGTCTTTCAGTTAAAGGAAGATGAGGATTTCTAGACACACAATGAGGACTACCCTAAAATACTTGCTTATATGTTATTTCCCCTGGAGCGGGTGTTTTAGCTGTGATCAGTGATCTTCATGATGCCTCTCAAAAAACCAACTGCTTGGTTAGTTGATCAATTACTTATTAGTGTTTTTGTTTGTTTGTTTGTTTTTTTCCAGCTAATGTTTGTTTGCCAAGGTTCTTTAAGCCTATTTGGAGTCTTACTACATTTTCTAGGTGTTTTGTTTTAGGCTGGAGGAATCTCATGGAGTTCTTTCAGAACAAGAATTCCATGTTTGAAATTTTCCCTTTGTTAGTCCATCAAATCTTTGCTCTTCCAGTTTTCCTATAACATATTCTTACCAGTGTGTTTGGCAGTTCCAAAACTTTTATTCCATTTTCCAAAGTATCTACTGTTTGACCTGTCTTCTGCTTGTGTTAAGAATTAGCTTTGCACTTTTATCAACTTTCTCTTCTCTTCTTTTTCTTTTTCTTATTAGCAATAACACACTTACATATATATATATATATGTATATATATTTTTTTTACCATTATCTTTGCATTTCACTATACTCATTTGCATATCAGTTCATTAACTTCTGGACGTAGGTGTGACTCTTCTTTTAGCCCGTGCTCATTTAACGGTGTGGATATGACATTCTGTCTGTTTGAAGTATTTCATGTTTCTTCCAGAAAGGAAACCTGATGCTGTAAATTAAGGAGGTGCTATTCTGTTAGAGATTCTTACAGATTTTGATTAAGAAAGCACAAGTAGTTTTTCTTATTGTTCCAGATCTTGATGGAACTCCGTGTTGAAGTTACCTCTGTGTATTTTTCTGCAGAGATGCTATGGTTTCCTTTTCTGCCCAGGCATACGTTCTTTTTTTTCCCAAAGTTGAGATTTATAAGGATGACAAGGAATGTAGAAGTGAGAGCTAGCTTAGTGTTATCCAGATAAAATAAAAGGTGGCATTACCAAAATATGACAGTATCTTGGATGTAGGCTGAAGTTCTGGCCGCACATTAATCTACTAGGTTTCAATTTATAGCTTGAAATTATTACTTCAGTGCTAGAAAATGGATTTTAGAAACTGTCATTTATTACAGTTAAGAAGTAACTGTAGAACATCAAGACAGTCATTATGGTCTACCAGAATTCAGGTTTTCTGTTGTTAATTCGTGTTGCTTAAATTTCTGATCCAGCTCTAATCATCTTGTGTATAAAGAATGCTTCATTATTGTTTACTTTTCTTCATAGCAGCAGTGTTTATCAGCTCATTGGGGTGGTTTTTCCTTTTTTTTTTTTTTTTTTTTCCCTTTTGGTAGTATGCAATGATTAAAGAAAAAAAAAAGAAAAGTGATTTATTTGGTACAAAAAGTAGACCTTGATAACCACAAATGAAATACTGGTTTATTTGGATGTGATTAAAATTATGCATTCATACATGTAGCAAGAAGGCCTTAACATCTCAAGATAGCTTCTATCTCTGACTTTAGCTTTCACAACATCGGTCCTGGAGTCAACCTCTTTTCCTCCTCTGGAAACCACAAGAACAATGATGGGTAAATAGTTCCATTACAATTTCTGTATTTTGGCAATACTTAAAAAAGAAGAGCACAATTTTAAGGTTTAGCAACCCCACCTTTTTTCCTTTTTTTTTTTTTTCTCCTTGCTAGTGGCAATACCAGTGATGTTTTACCCATAATATCAGTGATGCGATCAGTCCCTTTTATAAATGATAACAAGGAGATACTTCATTGTTGAGCTTCTTGATTCCTCCATGTAAATTTTCTGCTCAAGAGGCCCTGTTCACTAAAATGTTAACTGTTTGTGTTATACACGTTAACGCAGCCAGCCTACCTTGCTTTAAGAATGGAATAATACTGTGACAAAAGCAGGTATTTATGTAAAATAGCTGAATGTAACGTGCTCTTTGTGTATTTCCAACTCCATGATGGTACTGCTTTGAAAAACACTGTTCCTCTGTAGAATCTGAAGGCAATTTTCTGGTTTGATCTTAGCTACTCAGAGACCAAAGGTGAAGCCTTCTCCTCCTTCCATTGCAATCCAAGGGACAGTGGAGGGTAAATACTTTTGTTTGTCTTTCTTTTCCCCTTCCATCACCTGATGTCATTTTCACCTGCTTTGAGCGATACCTGGGTTTGTTAATGTACGTTGGCTTGTGAAAACACTTGCCACGCTAGTTCCATGGTTCTGATGGCTGAGCTGCTGCTTTTGCTGTCACCTGCAAATCATTTTTTTTGCAGGGCCATTTGGCAGAGAGTCTATCAACCATGCCTCGCTTGTCTGTGCGTCTGTCTCTACATGTGTTTTTTCTTCAGAAACTTCTTTCTAGAACAAAACGTTCCATCATGGCAGAAAGCTAACTCTGCTACTACTGGTGTTGCTGTTGATGTGGTGTAGGTGTCCCAGAGCTTCCTTATGGGGAGCCAGTTAGCCCTTTTTCCTCTCTTGTTTCAGAGACTTGAGCATCTAAGTTCTAGCTGGATGAGTAGGGATGTTGCCCACTGGCTTAGGGACTAACGTAAGGGAAGACTTGGGGTTTCCAGTTGTCACGGGGAGTGGTGCGGCCTTAGGTAGCCTGTTCTGGCAGGACCGTGTAGGTATCTCAAGATCATTTCCATGTCTGACCGTAGCGACCCAGAGACGGGCTCCGGAATCCACCTCGTCTGCTTCACCGGAAACCACGAGGACTGTGATGGGTAAATAGCCAGCGATTCCCTTCCTCCTTTGGGTACTCGGGCAGTGCTTTTCCCTGCAGAGTTGAGCCTGTTCTGGTGTTGGCAGTCCTGAGCAGTAGGTGCATGTTGCTGCTGGTCCCTAATGGCTCTGGATAAGAGCTACACTGTTAAGTGTCTGCAGTACGGGCCTCCTCCACTTCAAGGCTTCCTCTGTTACCTGGGGCTAGCTCTGCCATTTGAAGGCCAGGAGGATCATTCCAGGGGAGGGGATGCTGTGACGTGTTGGCCTGCCTCGAGCAGGGCTCCATCTCCCTGTTTGTTGCTGCATCTTGATATCGCCTGTGTGATGGCAGTCAACGTGAGGACCTGAAGGTGGTTTTTGTGTTTGATCTTAGCTACCCGGCGACCAAGGCTGAAATCTACCTCTTCTTCCCCCCTGGCGACCCAGCAAACAGTGACGGGTAACTAGCAAAACCCCTTCCTTTTCCGTTTTCTCCTTTTCCTCTCTTCATGCCCCCTGCTGCTGGCTTTCCAGGCAGCCGATCTGTTGTCTGTGCATTCATTTATGTTGTCACCACCTGGAAGTGAGTGCTCTGCTGTCATGCTGCTTTTGAGGTCATGCTAGGACTTGAAGCACGCTACCTCTTCTCACCTGGTGGTGAAGCACAGGGTCATCTTTGGGGTTCAGAGCTACCATCAGCCAGCACCTGATGGTGCTGCTGGCCTAACCTGGTACCGATGGTTCTTGCTTGTCTGGAATTGGTGCAGGACGGGTGTTTTTTCCCCAGTGGTGTTGTGATTTTAGATTTCTGGGCCTGTGTTGGGGTGAAGCACCGTTTGGAGATGAAGCTGCTGCACTTGGCTGTGGCACTCGGAGACAACGTGGGAGAAGCTCATGGCGGCAGCTTCTTTTGTATTGGCAGGTGTGCAAGGCCAGGCATGTGGCCTGGCAGTACTGGCAGTTTTTTGACCCATGAGGTCATTAAGCATTGCGTGAGCAGACTGTCAAGCCTACAAACTTGAGGTCAAGTACAAATTAAAAATGTATGAAGCTTATTAATGTATCCTTCCCTCTAAGATGCAGGTAAATAGTAAGTTCCTGAAGCTCTGGCTGTGGTTCTTGGAGCATTGCTCTGTGTTAGAAGCTAATTGTGAAGTGTGCTGTTATGGCAATGGAGAAATATATATCTATATCTATATGTGTATATATATAGATATATACAGATATATATATATAGTGTGTGTGTGCTTACTACTGAGAAACTGATCTGATGGTGTTTCTAGTCTTTCATTTGCTTATCAAAAAGCTATTAAGGGTATTTTGAAATACACCTAGATGAAGTAACCTTGATAAATAAATTCAAAGTGGCTAAAGCTTAATTTATTTTTTTTCTTTAAGCCAATTAGGTACCTTCATGTTTAATTATTATATGCTCAGATAGATGCACACATATATTCTCTGCTGTTCTTTATGCCAGAGTCTTAAATCTTTTTCTTACTGCTTTTTGTTTGTTTTAGTATTTGGTGCTAATTTTTTATTTTTTTGTTTTAACCTTTGTTTGGTACGTCTCCGTGTTTGTGTGTGAATATTACTTATAAGCACGTATTCTAAAAAAATTCAAACTCACAGCATCTTCGAAGAAAACAAAGCACTGAAAACAACTTAGTCTTGTGCAGAAGTATATTAGTTATGTTCTTATGTTCTTGTGTTCATAAATTATTTTTTTCTACCCTTTTTCCTTTTTTTTTTTCTTTTTAGCGCTTTGTGCTTCTAGCCATTGTGTCCGAAATTCTTTTATCTTTTATATTTTCTGGGTTGCTTTCAGTTATGTGGACTATGCTGTCTAATATCATATTAGCTTTGGTTGGCTGCCACTTAGTTTCAGTTGTCACTTTATCCACTAGCTTCAGTTCCTACTCTAAACCAGCACTGCTCCATTTTCAAGGTAAGGTATGTTATTATGGATGGACATCTGCATTGCAAATTAGGTATAAGAACAGAAAGCTACGTATGGAAACAATAATAGTAGATACTGTCAACTGTTTGTTTGTTTGTTTGTTTTATAGCTTTCAATGATATTCAACCTGTTCTTTCAAGCCCTGTGACACCTAGTAAGCCTGAAATAGCAGATACCGAATCAGGTACAATACAACGCCTAGTTCTTTTTAATCAGTAGCTCAGATCAGGCTCTAAAACTCGCTGAAATGACTACACTGGTTGTCTTCGCTTTCAGTGTACATTTGGATTAGACCGTAACATCTGGATTTTGAGTTTAGGTTGCTGTTAGTGGTTGACATTATTGCTTTCTCACACTTATGATGTATATGGCAATTCATAGTTACCTGATTCACCTTCAGTATTTTGAAAAATATGCCACATAGATAATTGAGAAAACAGTATTTATTGTCCAATGCTACTGATTTAAATAGTGTGATGTATGCTGTAAGCTGCATTCTACTGCTGTAGTCTTGCTAAGAATATTAAGGAGAGTGTTTCCTTTAATTGCACGAAATTGGTCACAGACAAAAGTCACAGTCACAGACACTTGATACTTTCAGACTGAAACAGTAGTTGGATTGTCAGCTTTCTAGTCCAAATTTTATAGTTTAAGTGTCTTGGCTGACTGATCGTTCAACACATCCTCTTCATTACATTCATGCATTTTACACACCATTTTCCTTAAGTAATGGGTCAGAACTCAACATGTGGAAATGCTAAACTTCAAAATCTTACTTGGCAGTGATTGAGATCCAGACCCGTTACAGTAAAGACAGGAAGAAATTAACATCCAAAATTCCTGCACATCACAAATGCAATGATTTAAAGACACTGAAGCTCTATGCATTTCAAAAGACTGAATTTCTCTCTAATGCATACTAGGTAGATAAACTGGAAAGTGTCCAAGAATTAGTGAGATACTTATGTTGTTCTTGTAAAAACAGATTTGTTTTTGCTTGCGAAGCAAGAGTTTCTTCCATTAGCTCTTTATTGTCTTACAACTGTCACCATTTCTTCCAACAGCAACAATTGAATCCATTCTGGAATCTTTTACACCTAAAACTTATCATCCTTTCCAATGGCCAAGGGTAACATTAGGTAATGTTGTTGTTTTCATGCAGTGAAAAACTGTTTGTTTTGAGCACTTCATCCCATATGAATGTATTTCTTCCAGCATATCATTTCACACACATAATCATTGTTCTTTTTACTGGTTATAGTCTTGTTCTGCCATTGTCATTAGACTTCGATTATTCTTGATGCACTTCTGTATGGGAACATAGTTCATAGCAGTTTTGCTGTCCTCGATGCAATAAAAGTTGCCTCTTAGTAACTTGCATGAAAAACTCCATGATCCTTTCATCATTGTGTTCTGTCTGTCTTTTTCTCTGGTGCACACGCATGTGCTCTCTTCCTCTCTGATATGTAGAGCTTTCATACGGAAAATTATAGTTCTTTTGAAGACATCAGATCTATTTCTGATCAATGCACAGCATTTCAATATCATCTCCATTCCACTCTTCAAACTCTGATTTCATCAGATGGCTTTAATGTTCCACACTGAGTTATTTTTTCTTCACTATAAACTCGTGGCATGTGTTGTGTGTTCTGAGCAACCCTTGTTAAACAAATTTTGATTGCAAACTGAGCTCTTTCTTTCAGCTCCAAAAGAAATACCACTTACTCCTCCTAAACCGAAACCATCTGCTACCCCGGAAGTACATCATGTGAAACCTGGTAATTGTGCACACCATTATTTTAAGTTGGTATGCAGAGACATATGTTCACTAAAAATGTTTTAGCAACACTTTGTAAAATGGATAGGAACTGTGCAATACATGTGAGCATCTCGACTAACTCACAACTTTGTCATCAGTCATGTGATGTTACCTGACAAAGGAAATGAGAGTTAAGCTCATCAGTTTTACACAGTTGGGTGTAGTGAAAAAAAAACACAAAACAACAACCTTATATTATTCTATTGCTTCATTTGTCAGTCCCAATCTTCCACTTTCATACAGGCATAGCTTGGCAAAGAAGGCATTTTTGCTAGTCACAACACTGATAATTCAGAGTAAGGTACTACTCGTGTGATTGATAAGCCCTCCCTTAAGGAACTCAATGAAAAGGATTTTCATTTCAGTGGAAATAGGAGAGCTGCCTTCAAAGTAGAAGAGTAATCTTTCATACACGAGTGAAAAGTTCATTCTTTGACCATTGGAGCATTATTACCATGTGGTATCTTTTTTCCATTTTTGCTTTTTGATCAAAAAATAGATCTCTGTTGTGTTTTTTTTTGTTTGTTTGTTTTGTTTTGTTTTTTTCTTCTGATTTGGGATTAAGGGATATGAGTTTGCCACTTTTAGTGACCCGGGTATTGGACAAGTAAATATTATGATGTGCATTACTAGAGCTTTAAATAATGTTTCTATTCTAATTTCTTATAAACAGGCAGTCAGTAAAAAGCAAGAGTTGCCTTTTATGTCTCATACATGTCTTACAATTGACTGCAACTCTGACTTAAGATATTCAGCAAGATTTTGGCATTCAATAGTTGCCTCCGGCCTATTTTGTGGTATTTGTTATGGAATGTGGTTTTTTCTTCGGTCATAGGCCTCATCTGTTCTTTCTTTTTATTCTCCTGTAACTTTAAAGATATCTGTTTGTTGATTGAGCCAAGCAATGGATTAAAAATGTCCTGAAAACATAAATATGGGAAAGAAGCCTCAGAAGCAGATTGTCACACAAAACCTTGAACACTTGAACATATAGTGTGAAGTTTCATAGGAAACAGAACTAAAAGGATGTTATGCGTATGAGTAGGACTCTTGCGTGCTTATTTAGTCTATTTAAAAAGTAAATAAAAGTCAACTATTGGAATCATAACATTTTTGGTTTACTGCTGATACGTCTACTGATTTGTTCAATTACACCTCAATTTTTGTTTTTTAGCCCCTAAACCACCACTTTTGGAGCCTAAAACTTCTAAGACTGTTGAACAACCAAAAGCTACAAGAGGTAATATGTGTTTCTGTAGCTGTTGGTCACTCTTTGCAGTCCAAGCCACAGTCTGAACTCTCTTACTTCATCTCATAGTTTCTTTTTTTTG